AAAAGTGACATCTCGACAAGTGCATCTGCATGAATATGCAAGTAACATTGTCATAAATGATTCATCCACTTCAAAGAAAAAAAAAATCAAAGAAGAAAAAAAAAAAGGGAAACATGCACCTTCGAGGGCCTTCCGGAGCATATGTCACCTTTACCATTTAAAGAACTCAAGCTCTTTATTGTTTTTAATGAGTTCTAGTGACCAAAAGCACTTCGTTAACAATTTCATTTTTACTCTTAAGGGCGGGAAACAGCCCCTGATCAAGCCATCTCAACAAAAGATTTGACCTCCCTGCAATTCCTAACTTTTCTTGCTTTTTCCCGAACACCCGGATTGAGAGAAGACCCAAGTAATCTTGGGAATGCCATAGCACTTTCACAAATATCCAAGATTCTTGGAGATGAAAAGAATGTAAAAAACACCTCATCACAATCGACTTCAGTGCATACTTGAACTAACATCAATCAGTTCAAGAGGATCCTGAGCTTTTTCCCATTGAGCTCTGTTTCTATACAAATAATCATATGTAATATACATAAGGAAATCAAGGAAGAATGTCTTTTCAGATGTTCTTGTGAAAAAGGCAGCATCTGCTTGTATATCTTGGTATGCTCTGTCCAGTATATTATAGAAAATCTCATCAAAATCAAAGTTAACCTCAGTCAGCTTCTGACCCCACATCAAGGCCCTCTCTGGCATCCCCTGCTTGAGAAAGTGAGACAATAATGTATTAATTGTTATGATATTTGGAAAAAACGCCATCTTGATCAATTTTGCAGTAATAATCATTGCACGATCCACTATGTCACTGCAAACACCATTCACCATAGTGTTGTATGTTACTATATTTGGGACAACACCCACCGAGACAAGCTCATCCAGCAACACCACCGCTCGATTCATTTTCCGGATACTACAGAAACCATGGATCCGAGTATTATAAGTGTGTATATCTGGGTCCCAACCGCTGGCACGCATTTTATTCACAAAGTCATCTGCACTAACCATGTCAAATGCTTTACAATACCCGGCAATCAAAGTGTTATATGTTACAACATCAGGGCCAATGCCAGTCCCGTGCATGTCCATGAATGCATCGATGGCCAACTTCATTTTGCCCTGTTTACAAAAACCATTTATGATAATATTGGATGTGTATATATCTGGAAGGAGACCTTTTTGCCTCATCTCTCTCTCCAATTTCAACGCTTCATTTACTTTTCCGCAGTTACAAAACCCATTTATCAGAGAGTTATATGTAAAATTATTTGGCACAAACCCTGCCCTACACATTTCTAAGAACACATCATAGGCATCCTCCACAAGACCTGCTTTAGCCAAACCATCAATAAAAGCCGAGAAGGCAACAGCATCAGGAAACATGCCCCTTCCTTTCTTCTCACCCCACACCATGTAAGCCCCTTCTAGATCCCCT